TATAAACCACCCCTCCATGAGGTATGATGAAACCATCAATTGGTAAAATCGAGGACACGAAAGCTTACCTGTGAATCTAGTATTACCAACTAGAAGTCCACACAAGGTCTATGGGTCACCAAATAGCACAATCACAGTCTGTTTATACCAGAAATATAATTAATATTCATAGTCAAGAAGTTCATTTCATTAGGACAACATTTCCTTTTTCGTTTAATGACCGTAGGCTTCCCTCAAAGCCATATGCATTCAATATTATTGGTTCCGACTTAGTTAGGTCATTCAATTTTATTCACAGTAGGTTTTTGGAATAAGAGTAAATACCCTTTTGCGTCCCTAACAAAAAACACGATCCCCACTTTAGTCCCTTACAAAAAAAAATTACTCTTCTGGTCACTAAGAAATTCAAAGTAGACCCATTTAGTTGAAATCGTGGTCCCTCACAAATTCAAAAAAGACCCAAATTAGTCTCTCAAAAGGACTAAAATGGGTCCACTTTGAATTTTTTAGGGACCAAAAGAGTATTTTTTTTGTAAGGGAATAAAGTGGGGACCGTGTTTTTTATTAGGGACATAAAATGGTATTTAGTCTTGGAATAAAATTGGATAAATGTCTAAGCTACACTTATATAAGGTTACCCCATTTAACTCATCGATATTAGTTCTAATAGCTACGCTAATAATTTTTTTACCAGACTTTAAATTCTGAACCTAAACATTTTTCTAGGAATTATCATAGTTTTCTTATAATTTTCGCAGCACTTTGCCGGTACGCATTTTATACGTAGCCGATATTAGTTTTGATATCACCGCTCATTATTCTTACTCCAAACTTGATATCCTTGACCTAGATATTTTTCTAGGAATATTTATATTTATATTATAATTTTTCGGGATAATTCACTGATACGCATTTATACCGCGAAGCAGAACCGGTATCTACACTGTTCGTCTGAAAAGCGACTTTAAGCATTATTCGGCTTTCTAAATATTTATCTTACCATAATTATGCATAATATTTATCAAATTCATGCTTCGGCATCAATAATCTTATTTAATTAATTATTTAGCGGTACAGGTCTTACACTCACCCCACCTTTTAAGAATTTTGTCCGTAAAATAAGAGACATACATGTCCCTAAACTTGGGGTATTGCCGGAGAAGCTTGTCCTCCCACTACTAAGTATACTCCTCAGAAGTTCTTCCTTCCCATTGCACTTTGACCATGGGAATGATCTTACTTTTTAGCTTTTTCTCGCCACGATCTAGTATCTTGAGTGATCCTACGTGAATCTTTAAGTTATCCTGAATCTCCACATCATCTAATTGAACAATATGTGAAGGATCTGCTATGTATCTTCGCAACTGTGACACGTGAAACACATCATGTATGTTGGCCAAGTTCGGAGGCAAGGCAAGCCGGTAAGCGACAGGCCCTACCCTACCAAGTATCTGGTATAGCCTAATGAATCTCGGGCTAAGCTTTCTTACACTGAGGGCACGATCACTACCTGTGACAGGTGAAAGTCTCACAAACACGTGTTCACCCTCACTGAACTCCAGTGGCCTATGCTTGTGGTTATTGATAAACCTTTGGTTTACCATATTTTTAGACTAAATTATACAAGAGTTATGTAGTAGAATGCATGGAATTCAAGGTTTTACAACACATAAGTCAGAAGATAGGAATTTGAGCAAACATTTTGAAGTTCTTTGCATTTTGAAGGTAAAACCACAAATATTGGTACTAGAGAGTTCTAAAGAAATCATGACGAAGAAGGGGCGGCTCAATATGGACCAAAGGAAGCCAAAATATTACAATTCAAGGGCCAGAAGAGCACATTCAAGCGCACAGATGCACGCTCAAGCGCCCGAGAAGACATGAATCCACCCGCGAAGAGCACGGTCGAGCGCCCATTAGCACGCTCGAGCGCGTGCAGGCTGGCAGAAACAGCAATTTGGATCACATTAGCACGCTCAAGCGACCAACAACGCGCTTGAGCGCCCAAGCACGTTCCAGACATGAAAAGATTTACTAAGATTTGCTGAGATTTTCCAATTGATACCGGATTTTGATATCCGGAATTAAAGCGGAAACATATCGACCCTGATTTAAAGAGATTCATGGAAGATTGAAGCAGGATTATAACAAGATTCAAAGTCTCAAATCTGTCACCTATCTACAAGATGTTAAACGCAAAAGGAAACAACTTGAAGAATCAATTACAAATCTGATAAAGATTCGTTGAGAGATACAATGAAGGAGACAACTTCAATGGTTATAAATAAAGAGCAGAGGATCAAACCAATACACCAATTCACAAGTCCAGAGCATTACACCAAGACGAAAGGAGGAATCCTGTTGCGGAGCACTGGAACACTGAGGAACCAAGTCAACATCACACCAATAGAGGCTTGGGGTTCTCTTATCTTTACTATTGTTTTTGAATTCAGTATGCTAGGCTAGTCTTTTATGTAGTTAGGGGTAGATGGAACCCAATTGAATCGTTTATGTTTATGAATTAAATTGTCTCTGAATTCTTTTCTTTTTATAATTGAATAAATTTATCTGTCTTTAATGCTTTCTATGAGTTTGCTTCTTATGGAATGATTTTAGGGAATTGTATGACAATAGGGATGTTGGTGCATGAACCCTGAATTGATAAATTTATCATAATCCTTGTGATCTAGGGATAGACATAGGGTAATTGTGCAATCTTGGAATTCTTGATCTTAATGCATGTTTTCTTGGGGAATAATCGAGGAACTAGAGTTCTTTCAATATCACATAGATTTAGGGTAACAAGGAATTGAGCCCTAATTAACTTAGATAGAATTGATTGGCATTATATTAAGAAAATGTTCTTGACTCTTTAATTCATAACATAACGAGGATATTGGGGGAAGTCGAAACCCTAACTACACTTGTTTTTTAATTCTTAATCAATCATCTTTCAATTGTCTTTTTAATTCTGAATTTTCTTTGTTTGAATGCTATTACTTGTTTTTAATTTTAAGTTCTTCAAATCACAATCTATCAAACCCAACTTTTTTTTGTCCAATTAAGACGCAATTAGCGAACTAGTGCTTGAAAATTCTGATCCTCATGGGAACGATCTCGTACTCTGTTACACTTTATTACTTTACAACCGGTGCACTTGCCGAGTCGCAACAAGCTTTTGGCGCCGTTGCCGGGGATCGAATTCTTCAACATTAGAAGTAACTAATTAACTTTTAGATTGGACGTTTTAATTTTCTGCACTTTATACATTCTTCAAAAAAATATTTTTCTGCATTAATTTTCTGCATTCTTTGTGTATTTTTTATTTTTCTGTTTTTCTGTTTTGTCTTTTTTCTAGTTTTTGCTCATCTTTTCGATCTTAAGTTTATGCGAGGTACTCTTAACCCGCGAATCTTGCAGTTTGATCCTAAGATAGAAAAGACCGAAAGGAAACTTAGAAAGGACGCAAAGGCATAGAAAGCAAGGGAAGCAAAAGAAACCTCAAGTTCAACGGAACCTAAGGAGGAACCGATGGCAGAAAACAATCAACTCGCTCCAAGGACCTTGGGGGATTATATGACTCCAGCCCGAGTTCCACAGACGGCGAGCATTGTTAGACTGACCATAGAAGCTAACAACTTCGAGCTAAAGCCGACACTGCTACAACTGATTCAAAAAGAACAGTTCGCTGGAGGAAGCGCAGAGAACCCCTATAGTCATCTTTATGATTTTTTACTTTACTGTGATACTTTAAAAGTGAATGGAGCTTCTCGTGACGCTATCTTGCTCAGATTATTTCCAAACTTCTTCTTGGGCTAACAACCATTATTAGGCCCAATACCTTTAATGCTAGATGATCATGACAATAAGGTGTTAGTGTGTGACCCATTAGGTCCAACATAGCCACTGACATAAATGGGCTCGGGCCCAACAAGCCCACAACCCATTTAATGACAACATAGAGCACTAGCAATGCTTTGTTGCCCCAGAACTAGTTAGATTAATGACTTGATCATCCTATTATACATATTTGGTTGCCGTATGTATTTTCTTTCGTCTCGGTTACCTTCTCATTAAACCTAGGGTAAGGAAACGTATCAACCCTGCGGTTTAGGGTAATCTTTATTCGAAATAGGGAATCTTCAATTTACTGACTCTTAAGGCAGATCATCTCAGGATCTCTTTTACTATGCATAGATTCCCGAGTCCCTGTAAATGTCATCCTGATTTCTCCGGTTTACAGATAACCTAATCTCTCACAGAGATTTGACGAATTCCTTCAGCTTATCACCCTAACCCTGTGCCCTTTCAGGACAAGCCCAAAAATATACCTATGAGTCTCCATGTTTCAGGAAGACGAGGTATACAATCAAAGCATGCATTCTAAAACATAGTCTAGGTGATAATTTCTGGTCTAAGGAAAGACATACCCAAATATAAAGAGACTACTCTAATGATACTATCTTTGAGATTTCCTCATAGAGTCTCTTTGTGGGTCTGTTCAGTGCGAGCTATACCCTTATAGGTCCACCCACGACTTTAGCTAAGATATCTGTAGCACATGAGGTCTTTACCTTGTATCCAAATACAAGTAGATAAGTCGTGCTAGTCTTACCCGAGATCACTGATCCCCATTCTCAGTGTCTCTAGACTAGTAACATAAAATTAGGAATAAACGTGTGGTATCCTTGAATCATCATGATCGTGATCTCATCACAGATACTCAAGAGATACGTGTTCTATTCCAAGGGGTTTATCCAGTTACTCATATAAAATATTAACAATAATATTGAGACAAAATATGAAACAGTATAAAGAGTGCTTTTATTTATTTGCGACAATATAAAAGGTCCACATATGTCCTAATCTAATCAAAAGATTGTCTCTAGGACATCCATATACTAACAAGAGCTTGGCTGCAGTCTCAACCTGAAGGAAACATAATCAGTTGGGATGACTTAGCAAGGAAATTCCTGGCCAGATTTTTCTCAGCTTCAAAGATGGCAAGACTTAAAGGGGAAATCACCTCTTTTGAACAAAAAGAAAGTGAATCTCTGTACGAGGCTTGGGAACGATTCAAAGGATTACTCAGGAAGTGTCCGCAACATGGAATTGAAGCATGGGAGAAAGCAAGAATCTTTTTCCAAGGAATGACACCCAACACAAGAACACTGGTAAATGTTGCTGCAGTGGGCTCCTTGAAAACAAAAACTCCAGAGGAAGCCCTAGAATCGTTGGAATCCTTAGCTTCTCAAGAATTTGACAATGCACCAGTTGCAAAAAGGAGAGCAGGAATTATGAAGCTCGACGGCTATGATGCAATCTTAGCCCAAAATGAACAAATGCTGCAAATGCACAAGAAACAACAAGAACAATTAGATGCTCTTACTAAACAATTTAATCATTCTCAAGTTTCTTCTATTAGTAATTCTCAAATTAAATATGGTATTTGTGCAGAGGCTCTTGCGACGGAAGATTGTGACTACATGAGAACAACTGAAAAGCCATCAGCAGAGGCCAATGGAATCTGGTTCAGAATCAACATCCAGGGTTGATTCACAAATCCAACCATCAGCTCAATCCTCCCCTTCCAGTGCAACCACATGCCCCACAACAAAGTAACACTTCTGAGTGGGAGAAAACTTTTGCACAACTATACAAGACCACTTCTTATTATATTCAAGGTGCAAATGCTTTCAGAGAGGACACATCTGCTTTCATGCAAGAGACTAGATCAGCACACCGGAATCAAGAAGCTTCCATAAGAAATCTGGAAATTCAGATTGGCCAGTTGTCGAAGCAATTTTCTGAGAGAGCTCAGGGTACTTTTCCAAGCAACACAATTGTAAATCCAAGGGGGAACTGCAATGTTATCACCACTAGGAGTGGAACAATGATTCAGCCTATAGGGGAGCATCCCGAAGAAAAGAAGAAGGATGGAGAAGCATCAGTTGAAGAAGAAAAGAAAGAAAAGGCAAATGATACAATTGAAGTTGACAAAAGCAAACCTGAAAAAGCCGAAAAGAAACTATTCAAGTGGGAGAAGAAGAAAGCTCTTGAAAGACAGAACAAGCCATTGAATCTCTCCCCATATGCTCGAATTCCTTATCCTCAGAGATTAAAGAAAGATATTCAGAAGCAGCAGTATTCAAAGTTTCTAGACATATTCAGGAAGTTGCAGATCAACATCCCTTTTGCTGAAGCTTTAGAGAACATGCCCAACTATGCAAGGTTCATGAAGGATCTATTATCAAGGAAGCGTAAGTTGCAGGAATGTGAGACGGTGAATCTGTCGGAGGAATGTAATGTTATCAACAAAAAGAAGTTACCTACCAAAGACAAGGATCCAGGGAGCTTCAGCATTCCCTGCACTATAGGCAAAGCGGAAGTGGACAATGTTTTATGTGATATTGGAGCTAGCATCAATGTCATGCCACTCTCCATGATGAAGAAGCTGGGGATTACCGAAGTGAAGCCCACAAAGATGATAGTGCAACTGGCTGACTGCTCTTCAAAGCAAGCTTATGGCATCATTAAGGACATATTGGTAAAGGTAGACAAATTCATCATTCCTGCTGATTTTGTCATCCTTGACATTGAAGAAGATGCCACAATTCCTATGATTTTTGGAAGACTCTTCTTGGCAACTTCAGGAGCACTGATTGATGTACTTAAAGGTGAGTTTATCTTACGGGTAGACGGAGAGCAAGCAATTTTCAAATTCTTTGACAAAGAAGTCCCCTCATCCGTAGCTCAACCGGAAGATCAAGTCTACTATATTAGTGAAAAGAAAGGTTAAGAAGAATACACATAATATCCGGCTACAACAGGGAACTATCTCAAATCCTTTCTCTTTTCTTTAGCTTAATTATTTATTTTTATTGATTTTTTTATTATTTAGTTTGTTTTGAAAAACCCCAAGCCATTGTTTTTGTGAAAATTTTAAACTTTTCTCAGTGTAAATAAATAGAAGACAGGCATAAATTTTTGATCAGTAATTGATTCAGAGCATGATGATGCACTTACTTGAATATTTTCATAATGAGCATCAATGTAATGATTTTCATGATTCATTGAATATTCTCTTTTGTGATGACATTTTTTGAGATAAAGAATAGAGAATTACTGTGCATTCATAGCCGTGAGGTTTTGAGCCTATACATAATTTTTTTTTATTGAGTGTGCATCCCACTGTATGAAAGACTCTAGAACTTGCTTTGTTTCTTGCTTGAATTAGTATATGATATATTTTATGGTTATGATTGAGGCATTTTCTTTTTTAAGCCAGATGGCCAAATAGCCAACCATTGCTCATATTCTTTAGTTAAACCCCTTTGAGCCTTGGCCTGTTTATTCTTTGAAAACCTATGAAGATGAATAAGCCACTTTCCATATAAATCCTCACCGTATTTGAGACTAATTTTCAGATTTAAATTGAGGAAAAGATGTTAATTGTTGATGATATAAATTGTGATGTATGGAAGTACATGAAAAAAGGCAAAAGTCAAGGAATTAAGGTTGGTTAGAAAGAAACAAAGAAGAAACAAAGAAAAGGAAATATACTCAGGAAGCGAAAAAGAAAAGAAGTAAACAGAAAGAAAGAAAAATTGTTCTGAGAAAAGAAAATGATAAACAAGAGAAGAGTTCAAAAGAAAAAGAAGAATAATAGACTGAAAAGAAGAAAACAAAGTTGTTTACAAATTGTAAACGATTACATTTATTCCTTTTTGAATCTGAATTTTAATCTTGCAGCCCATTCTCTAAATTTTTCCTTTCTTTAGCCAGGCCAAGTTATAACCTTAAGAAAGACCTCTTGATTTATGAGATATGTCACAATACTATGGAGAGCGAGAATATAATCAAGCCTATGGTAATGTTGATTCAGAGGGAAACGAGTGAAACACTAACCCTCTAAACAATTGAGTGTGAATGAAATGAATTCCTAGTGAGGGAGTGTTTCAGTAAATTCTCTTTATTCTTAATCTTAAGAAATTTTGTTGCAGCTTTTAACTGATGAATTATGAATTTTGTTGAATGATGCATTAATTTTTAGAGTCTGAAAGCTCTGTAATCATGTCTCTGATGAATCCTTCCTGTTAAATTCCAAGTTATTGAAATTCCTACTCCCTATTCCCTTAGTCTTATTCTGATTGATTGCTGAGGACAACAATATCAAATCTGGGAATGTTTGATAAACCTTTGGTTTACAATGTTTTTAAGCTAAATTATACAAGAGTTATGTAGTAGAATGCATGGAATTCAAGGTTTTACAACACATAAGTCAGAAGATAGGAATGTGAGCAAACATTTTGAAGTTCTTTGCATTTTGAAGGTAAAACCACAAATATTGGTACTAAGGAGTGCTAAAGAAATCATGAAAAAGAAGGGGCGGCTCAATATGGCCCAAAGGAAGCCAAAATATTACAATTCAAGGGCCAGAAGAGCACACTCAAGCGCACAGATGCACGCTCAAGCGCCCAAGAAGACATGAATCCACCTGCGAAGAGCACGCTCGAGCGCCCATTAGCACGCTCGAGCGTGCACAGGCTGGCAGAAACAGCAATTTGGATCACATTAGCACGCTCAAGCGACCAACAGCGCGCTTGAGTGCCCAAGCACGTTCCAGACATGAAAAGATTTACTAGGATTTGCTGAGACTTTCCAATGGATACCAAAATTTTGATATCCGAAATTAAAGCGAAAACATATCGACCCTGATTTAAAGAGATTCATGGAAGATTGAAACAGGATTATAACAAGATTCAAAGTCTCAAATCTGTCACCTATCTACAAGATGTTAAACGCAAAAGGAAACAACTTGAAGAAGCAATTAAAAATCTGATAAAGATTCGTTGAGAGATACAATGAAGGATACAACTTCAATGGTTATAAATAAAGAGCAGAGGATCAAACCAATACACCAATTCACAAGTCCAGAGCATTACACCAAGACGGAAGGAGGAATCCTGTTGCGGAGCGCTGGAACACTGCGGAACCAAGTCAACATCACACCAATGGAGGCTTGGGGTTCTCTTATCTTTACTAATGTTTGTGAATTCAGTATGCTAGACTAGTCTTTTATGTAGTTAGGGGTAGATGGAATCCAATTGAATTGTTTATGTTTATGAATTAAATTGTCTCTGAATTCTTTTCTTTTTATACTTGAATAAATTTATCTGTCTTTAATGCTTTCTATGAGTTCGCTCCTTATGGAATGATTTTGGGGAATTGTATGACAATAGGGATGTTGGTGCATAAACCCTGAATTTATAAATTTATCATAATCCTTGTGATCTAGGGATAGACACAGGGTAATTGTGCAATCTTGGAATTCTTGATCTTAATGCATGTTTTCTTGGGGAATAATCGAGGAACTAGAGTTCTTTCAAGATCACATAGATTTAGGGTAACAAGGAATTGAGCCCTAATTAACTTAGATAGAATTGATTGGCATTATATTAAGAAAAGGTTCTTGACTCTTTAATTCATAACATAACGAGGATATTGGGGGAAGTCGAAACCCTAACTACGCTTGTTTTTTTTTGTAAATAACTACGCTTGTTTTTTAATTCTTAATCAATCATCTTTCAATTGTCTTTTTAATTCTGAATTTTCTTTAATTGAATGCTATTACTTGTTTTTAATTTTAAGTTCTTTAAATCACAATTCTCTCAAACCCAACTTTTGATTGTCCAACTAAGACGCGATTAGCGAACTAGTGCTTGAAAATTCTGATCCTCATGGGAACGATCTCGTACTCCGGTACACTTTATTACTTTACGACCGGTGCACTTGCCGAGTCGCAACAATTATAGTAACTCTTATGACGATTTTGTGCTTGCTTCAGCTTCTCTCTAATCATCTGGATCTATTGGGTAGTCTCTTAGACAAAGTCTAAGTCAAACAACTATCGATCTCCAACCTCAGACCAACAGGTAGGAGTCCTACACCTCCTACTATATAGCGCCTCGTAGGGTGCCATTCCCAGGCCAGCATGAAAACTATTGTTGTACGAAAACTCAACCAATGGTAGGAACTGATCTCATGTTGAGCCCTGCTCCAAAATGCAAGCCCTCAACATGTCCTCCAATTTCTGGATGGTCCGCTCAGTCTGTCCATCAGTCTGAGGGTGATAGGTTGTACTCAATCTCAACTGAGTACCAAAAGCTCTCTGTAGCGCCTCCCAGAACCGAGACGTGAACTTCGGGTCCCTATCACTAATGATACTCTCAGGCACCCCATGAAACCTCATAATCTCGCGAACATATAACTTGCCTAACTGCTCTATGGTGAAGCTTATCTTAACTGGAAGAAAATGGGCAAACTTTGTCAATCTGTCCAAAATGACCCAAATAGAATCATAACCAGCCTGAGTCTTAGGCGGTCCCAGTACGAAGTCCATGGAAATCCTCTTCCACTTCCATTGAGGAATCTCAAGAGGTTGAAGCTTATCAGACGATTTCTGGTGCTCAATCTTTACCTTCTGGCATATCAAACATTTAGACACATAAACTGCTATATCTTTCTTCATGCCCAGCCACCAGTAGTTTCCTTTCAAGTCTTGGTACATTTTTGTAGCCCCAGGGTGAATAGTGAACTGGCCCTTATGAGCCTCTGACATCACCTCCTCCGTCAATGGACCTCTAGGTACCACAATCCGATTCTGAAACAACAACAATCCCTGCTCGTTCCAAGATACAACATCTTGGTTCTTCACATAGTCAACGCATTCTCTTTGCACATGTGCCTCTTTGATCTTATCCATCAAATCATTTTCAACTCTTACTGTTTTCGTCTCAAGAAGTGTATCCCCAAACAAAGAGGTCACTGTCAAGTCTCAAAATTTCTCAATTACATCAAAATCATTAATCATTAAAATGAATAATTAATCTAGTGTTCACGTTGGTTAATTAATCTCCTCATTTAACATGCCAAGACTTAATCTTTAACATAGAAACTCATGAGCAAAGGTAAGGAATGTACCTAAAAGCCTTGCAAGCAAAAAATAAAGGTTTTTTGATGTTGAAAAATCCACTCTTTGCTTCCACTAAGCACTGTAAACGAAAATGGAGTGATGCAATTCACTCCTCTTGCCACAAGGAGCCTCCAAACAAGCTTGATATAGGTTCCCACTCCAAAACTCACAAGACTCACACTCACCCTTCTAAGAAAGCAGCAAGAGGGTTCAAGGAGAGACTTTTCTGCCTTAAGATGGTTGCTCTCAACTCACAAGGAGGATCAAGAGGGAGAAAAATGCATGAAAAAGGGTTCTTTGCTAACTTCCATGAAGAAAAGTGTGATCTTCCTTGGGAATGAAGAAGAATATGGTCTGAAGTTTGGGAAGAGAGTTGCGTAGGTTTTTGAAATAAAATAGGACAAGTGTCTAAGCTACACTTATATAAGGTTACCCCACTTAACTCATCGATATTAGTTCTAATAGTTTCGCTAATCATTTTTCTACCAAACTTAAGATTCTGAACCTAGACATTTTTCTAAAAATTATCATATTTTTCTTATAATTTTCACAGCACTGTGCTGGTACACGTTTTATACGTAGGCAGTATTAGTTCTGACATCACCGCTCATTATTCTTACTCCAAAATTGATATCCTTGACCTAGAAATTTTTTTAGGAATATTTATATTTTTATTATAATTTTTCGGAATACTTCACCGATATGCATTTATACCGCGAAGCAGAATCGGTGTCTGCACTGTTTGTCTGAAAAGTGACTTTAAGCATTATTCTACTTTCTAAATATTTATCTTACCATAATTATGCATAATCTTTATCGAATCT